AATTGCATTTATGTGATGCTTATCCCATTTTAAAAATTCATTTACTCTTGCATGAAATTCAGACTAAATGAAAGTACAATTCCTGTCCTATATTTTATTAAGAAATTAACAACTTAAAATTACAATAGTGAACATTATTTTTAAAAAAATAGATTGAAAATCTTAACAGTTCTCCTTTGATTTCTTATAAAATATAATGCCCTGAAATAATTCCCATTTACATTTTTAAAAAGTTTGTACAACCTTAAAAATGTATGTACTGTACACTGGAAGAGTAGATAATTCTAATATATTTAAAATTCCATTTAAGGAGGATTAGAAGATGCTTTGCTATCTGGAAGGAGACAATGAAATGTGTACAATGAAGAACGAAAAGCTATGAAGTGTATCTTTTGGTGCACAGATGAAGCAAAGTGACTGGATTGCCGCAGGCAGTGGATTTGGGGGAACTGTTTGGGGTACCAGAGCACAATAGATTTGGGACATAGAATACAACCTGGAATTTCTGCTGCACAAGTCCCACTGAAATAGACTAGATTTGCTCAAGAGCACAGTAGAGGCCGATAGGATTCGTTTTAATAGGTCGAATTCTTTTGTTGGTCATGGATTCCACAATTATGAATTCTGGACTTTTTGCCACCAGCAGTGATGATGGCTCTTATTTTGCATATTTTAAAAGACAATTAGACAAATAAGAAGAAATAAATACAGTTTCTGGATAGTTGAAAGTTATAATTTGGGTGAATGACAAAGAATGGCCCCTTGTGGGATTCTTAATAGCATCTGCATGGCCACAATTGGAAATAAGCTGCAGCATTAGACAGACTATTAGAGAAACAGCATATACAAATTCTTCATTTCAGTGAGACATGTAAATAATAAAAAACTCATCCTTTGATCCTGAATGTGTTCCACGCTAATTCATAAAACCAGAGATTGCTTAGGTAACAAACATTGTACAGTGGTGACCTGGCTATTTCTGTGAATTTACATTGAAATGCAGCAGGAACAGATGGTCAAATTTGCTACAGTTTGGGCTTTTGGTAAGTGTGCAATGGTATTATCCAGTTATGGTGTCCTCTTTTTGAATCTCTAGAGTTTAGTTGTGCAAAGTTATATGGAACAAAAAAACCCTGAGAAAGTACTTCACAATTCTTCCCTGTTACCTCCTCCCACCAATATCTGAAACAAATAAGATCACTGATTCTTAAAAGGCTTAAATTATCTAAGAGATAAGTATTTTGTTTTCTAATTATTAGGACAGGAGTTACTGCAAAAGAGATTTGGTTTGAGTTCTGCCTTTACTTGCATCCTTCAATATTCGTTTCCATATAAGGGGAAAATTCAAAATGTTATTCTATGCAAAAGAGTTCCTTCTGAATCTTATACATTCAAACTAAAAACTTCCAATTAGTATCAAATAATGTATGATCGTTAAAATGTCCCATATTTACCTGTCTTTAAGAAAGAATGGAAGTATTATAGGCACAGATAGCAAAAAACCCAACACAAATGCATTTTCAGTGGCATCAGTGTGAATCAGAGGAATGCTAACATCTCCAAATAAAACTCATAATAATATCTGGTTTTTAAAGAACTACATTTTGGAAAGCATTTAGTTATCGGCAGCTCTGTTGCTATAATTGTGCACTTAGTATTTAATACTATTCAGGTTGCCACGCTGTCCTTGGACATAGAATTTTCAATGACTTTTTTCTCCGCACAGCAATTTACAGATCTAATTTTCATGAATAGATGGTAATGCTACCAAACAGATAGGCCAGAGCCTTAAGACTTCTACACCTCACTTTCCGTGCTTGTTCTTCAGTAATACATAGTAATACACAGAAGTATCAAGTTAGAAGAGGATTTTTGTCCTTAAGAGGCTCATCTGTCATTAAGGGAAGGCTGATGGATGAAGGATTATCAACGGAATAAGAGCATACATCTATAGTGACAATATCTGGGCCGCAAACTTCCAAACAGAAGATTAGAGGCTTTAAAGCAGTGGTTCTCAACCTGTGGGTCGGGACCCCATTTGGGGTCGATCGACCATTTCACGGGGGTCGCCAAGCAAGGCTGTCCGTCATTTTTTTTGTCCGCCATTTTTCCCCCCCTTTTCCGGCGGGTGCCTTACCTCCCTTGGGCTGGGCCAGCTGGTGGTCGGCCTGCTCCGTCTCTGCCGCTTGCCAGCTACGCCTCGGCCAGCGCAGGGGGCGGAACCACGCATGTGCGGCGCTCCCGGGCAGGGAAAGTCCTCGACTTACGACCGGTTGGGTAGTCCTTGACTTACGACCGGTTTAGTCTTTGACTTACGACCGTTTAGTCCTCGACTTATGACCGGTTTAGTCCTCGACTTACGACCGGTTGGGGTTGCGGCATTAAAAAGGTTGAGAACCACTGCTTTAAAGTGTTAGAATTGTATGTCTTTCTGTTTGCTGTTTTTAGTAGCCATCCATGTTTTTTGCAGCCTAGATGTAATTGTCATCCCAACTTTTTCACACTTGTAGCTTCTGAATATTATAGTTTCAAATTCCTATGAACCAAAACATGAGGTTGTGTATTTGAGACTACCTTCATGTGACAAAGAAACATTTTCCTCATGGAAACTACAAACAAAACTTATATATAGATGTTTGTACATCTCAGTGTCAGTTCCAGTGGTGGGAGTCAGCTAGTTCGCACCAGTTTGGCGGAACCGGAAGCTAATGTTTTGTTGCCCAGGCCCAGAATGGACTTCTGGAAGCGGCATCCACACAGAGAACCGGTTGTTCGCATATTTGAATCCCACCACTGGTCAGTTCATACAGTTCTGATTGTCCCCCTCCCCTGGGATTACAAAGCCCCCTCTTTCTCCAATTTTATTTGATTTCTGAATCCCAGCAGGAATATGTATGCTCATAGAAAGATTAGTTAGTGCTTGGTGATTCATAGCTGAGTATGAGAGCCAATTTATGTTTGAGATGAGGAGTGGCAATATGAACATCCTATCTATGATCCTGATAATACCTGGCCATACAATTTAAATTCCTTTTCCCAAAGAAACTAGGAAACTGATTTAAACAGAAAATAAATATCAACTGAGATTTTCAGAGAGCTAAATTCCAGCATCTGCTCTGCATAAGAACATGGATAGCTCTTGCTGTCATCCTGCATATGGATTTTTTTTCCACAAAAGAGCCAACTGTATTAACAGAACAGGATCTGCAGAAACATAAGATATGCCTGCTTCCCATTTGTTTAACAGCTTGGATATAACAGATGAGCGCAGAGCCATTTCCACATTCAGTGAGTAGAACTTCTCTGCAATAACCAAACAAACTGAAGAGCTTGTATATCTTAGCATGAACAATATTCACAAATTACTGTTGGTCATTATGTATTAGTGTGCCAGGAAAAGAAAGGAATGAATGTGCATTTGACTTGGCAGTACATTTTCATATAAAGTTCAAAGCTGCTGTATTTCCCCAAAGCATCACTTTCAAACTCCTAATCAACAAGATCCAGTTATTTTAGACCTGTGCTTATTGCAGTACACTGACAAATAAACTTAACCTACTTCAACACACAAAGCTGTGCACTTTGAAAGCGCTTTCTGACAAATATACCCAGGATAGTAATAAATACTACAGAATATAAATTATTTGGCAGCAGTATAATTGCTATTTTTAAAAAGTTCCTATTCAATATTTCAAAGTCCCAATTCCATTACAGTATTATACAAAAGAAATCTTCCTTTACAAACAATACAGTTTTTGATTAAAACACTGATTCTTCCCTGAAGAAAGGCAGACATTTGTTTTAAATGTGGTAGGTTTCACAATATTGTGTAGAATCAACAAGGACAATGGAGTGTGGGAGAAAAAATTATTCAGTGTATATGCTCTTGCCTGTCTGTAAGATGGCAATTTATGTACATTCTCTTTCGGAATCTAGTGAGCAAAACTATATCATTATCGGCAGAGTCATGAACAGAATTCAGATATAACTAAGTTCAAGTATTATTCTTACTGAAGGGCCATAGGATGCAATTAGCCAAGCGAAGCTGTGGAATTTTCAAACTATTGCAATTGTGTATGATTGTGCAAGACTTCAGAATGATGTTCGCAGCAGCAGTAACAGCAGAATACCCTGGGCACATACACTGACTGTCTTTTTCCTAATATCTGGACCAATTACAGGTAGTCCTTGACTTACACCATTCGTTTAGTGCGGGGGTCTTCAAGCTTGGCCCTTTTATGACTTGTGGACTTCAACTCCCAGAATTCCTCAGCCAGGCACGCTGGCTGAGGAATTTTGGGAGTTGAAGTCCACAAGTCATAAAAGGGCCAAGCTTGAAGACCCCTGGTTTAGTGTCTGTTTGAACTAACAGGGGCACTGAAAAAAGTGACTTGTGACCAGTCTTGCACTTATTCTCATCACGTGTGATCACGATTCAGATACTTAGCAACCTGCATGTATTTATTATGATTGCAGTATTCTAGAGTCATATGATCGCATTTGTGACTTTTTCAGCTGACAAGAAAATTCAATGGGGAAACTGGGTTTGCTTAATGACCGCATGATTCACTTAACAACTGCAATGATTCACTTAACAACTCCGGCAAAATGTCATAATATCAGGCATGATTCGCTTTACAACCATCTTCCTTAGCAACAGAAATTCTGGTCCCAATTGTGGTGGTAAATCGAGGACTACCTGTACTCTTTTAATGCCGTGATTGATTGTAGCAGAATTATTTAAACACACACACACACACACACACACACACACACAAATTAGAGCTCATGAATGCATCACATGAATAAAGAATGACAACACAGTGTGGGTTTTAAAGTTTGGTAGTTGTCTGAATTATTCTCTTTGGAACATCATGTTGAGAGGATAGTAAAATTAACTTAAAAGTAACGTGTCATGCTTGTATGGCCGATTCTGAGCTTAAATTTGTCCCCAGCCCCCGTTGAGATTCATAAGTGTCAATTTAATGAAAGGGAACAAATCTCTGAGGCATCAGGAACCATCGTCTTGCAAGGCCCTTGCAACTGTTAGCTGTTCATAGGTTGGGAGAGCGCTGCTGGGAGGTAGGCTGGAGTCAACATCATTCCTGGGAGATGCTTTGGTGCTGCTTTGGTTTCCTTGCTGGCTGGAAAGCAGGCGGTGCAGCAAATCTGTGATGAGATTCAGCTTCTGGTCTATTTGGACTACCTGTGAAGACCAACAAAACAACACTCAGCATTTAGGTGAACTTCTAGGCAGTGTTTGAAAGCCAGACTTTGCAACAATACTTCCGCCTGGTAGGATTTTGAGGCAGAGGTCCAAGGTTCCACCCAGCAGAATGAGCAGCAAGCCTAGCTCTATACCACCTCAAAAAAGAAGCTCATAAAAGCATTAGATTGAGTGGTTGCAGAATTAATCATTAATTAATCAGAATAGAGCTGGAAGGGACCTTGGAAGTCTTCTAGTCCAACCCCCTGGACCCTATACCATTTCAGAGAAGTGACTATCCAGTGTCTTCTTAAAAACCTCCAGTGTTGAAGCACCCACAACTTCTGAAGGGAAGCTGTTCCACTGGTTAACTGTCCTCACTGTTAGGAAGTTTCTCCTTAGTTCCAGGTTACTTCTGTCCTTGATTAGTTTCCATCCATTGTTTCTTGTTTTGCCTTCTGGTGCTTTGGAAAATAAGTTGAACCCCCTCCTCTTTGTGGCAGCCTCTCAAATACTGGAACAATGCTATCATGTTCCCCCTAGTCAGTGGTGGGATTCAGATATGTGAACAACCAGTTCTCTGTCTGGATGCCGCTTCCGGAAGTCCATTCTGGGCCTGGGCAACAAAAATTTAGCTACCGGTTCTGCTGAAGTGATGCGAACCAGCTGAATCCCACCACTGCCCCTAGTCCTTCTTTTGTCTAGACTAGCCATTCCCAAATACTTGTATGAAGAAATACCTATTCATCATAAAGGTATGATGCATGATCTAAGCCTAGACTTAAAGATATAAAGATGAATTAGTAATATAATGAGGGCTACCTGTAGGTAGGAATTTCCTGTGAGATGCTTTCCTGGCAGATCGACATGACTCCAACTGGCACAGCTCAGTGGAGATGCTTTGGAATAACGAGGAAAAGAAATTGCTGAATTGGCCCTGGGCATACTTGAAGCTGGCCTGTCCCAGAGAACAAGAGGAAATTTCCTCTGCAGCTAATCCTGAATTGTTCTCAAATACTGAACAGGTTGAAGATAGCAGGAAAGAGAAAAGGAGAGGCGGCTGAGGAAGCCTGTATAAAATGAAGACAAGTATCCCTGGAAAGTGGTGGGAAAACAGGGAGTACTCCTGAATATTTCACAATAGAATCCCCCTCCTTACACGACAGGAGTTCCCACAATGGCAGAAAGTAAGAGCAGAAATACTATTTTTATAGTGAGAGGCGGGGCAAATCCCAGAATTTTGACAATCATTGTTAAACCTGGATTGGAATACTTTTAGTTAAAAATCTCTCTCTTTTTTAAATGATGTCGTGAGAACAAGGGGGTCTCAGCTATTAAAAAAAAAAAAGAACCCAAAAAGCCACGCTGTCATCTGGAAGACTTCTTAGAGTTGGTGCTTTGTTGCCCTTGAGAGTGTGCCCATTTTAAAATGAGGAGCTCCATGCCTGGAGCACATAGCTGAAATACCAGAACAAAAGCTGGCATGAGGGGGAAAGCTGACCTCTAACTATCTACATACAATATCAAAACAAATGATGGTAATTGGGAAATGAAAGAGAGAGAGAGAGAGAGTGCTGGGAAGGCTGATGTTTTTGGGATCCCAGCAATAAGAGATTTGTGGAACTTGAGCCACTCAATAGCAGTATGGGTAATATCTTTAGCCCCCGGTGCCCTGCTTTGTTCTTCTAGGATAAGAGAGCATGGGAGAATAACCAGCACCAAGGCTTACTTGGCATGAGACAGTCTACCCCTACATTTCACTTAACTGTGCTAGCTGGCACTGCAGATAGAGGAGGGCAGAATAAAAAAGCCTTGCTAATTCTTTTCCTACTTACAATGGAAAGGATGCCTTTTGTCTCAAAATGGCTATAGTGGACAATATAGAATAAGGGAATCTAATGTTCTCATGCTCGGATTTAGCTTCTACTTACTTATCGGGATAATAGGAACCTAGCATAAAAAGGAGACAGCACACTGAGAGACTAAAAATGACACCAATTTGACAAACCAAAAACAAATGTCAGAAATAATTAAACAGATGAGGTATAGGCAATCGGACTCCATCTGCTTTTCAACACAACCCCAATGGCGTAAAATCACCTTAGGATTTTTCCCCCCTCCCATGCAAACTAGTCAAAATGTAGCCAAATACGCACACATGCAAACTTTTCCTCAGCCCTCAATTGAGCTGCACAAAACAGAGAAACCTGCCAATTGTTGCTCTCCTGGTAGGAAGTGGTTAAAAAAAACCCAACTCTTTGTGACCTGCCAGAATGAATGAGGTAAAGATAATGTTCTTGACCTTTCAATCAATGATTGGGTTTAAAGATGGTTTTCTCCACTAAAAAAAAATTAGTAGCTGATCACAGATCCAGATTATAAGCCTTAGTCTAGGAATGAATACCCCAACCCTCTTCTCCCCTCTGACCCGTGACCCATAAGAGGTGCTGAAGCCAGCAGTAAACCAGTTTCATAGGAATAAATCTCTCTGTGTCTGGTTATCGTCCAAGCATCATTCTGGACAGTAAAAGATAATAAGTCTGAGCAAAATGTCAACAAACCTGGAGAATTTCAAGTGCAGTTCAAATGTTTTTCAACCAAGAGGACACTGTTTTTGTCAAATAATTTGGACACTTGCAGGGAAGCAGATACAGAAACCACAAAAATACAAGGTGCTGGAGGATACACTGCAGCTGGGTTTTTCTCCCTCACAACGCAAAACGAAGATTGCAATCCTCAAGCCATTTAATTCCAAAATAAGTGGTGAGAGGATTGCAACCAAAATGTCTGTGAGAGATTGTGTTGTCTATTTGTCACACAGACACTGCCTTATGCTATAGATGTGAATTTATTGGCTTGGCGGGAAAACCACTGCAAGAGAAATCCAAGACAGGACATAGTACCAGTAAATACTTTTCTAAAAACAAAAAAAAAATATTATTGTAATTGCTTATGAAACTGGAGCAATCAAATCTAGGCCAGAAAAATCCAGATAAGCACTAGAGAACACCAAAGAGCTATTAGCTGCTCCTCAATAATCACACATATTTTTGCAGCCCAGATCTAATAATGGAATACTTTTTGGACAGCATAGAATGGGATAAGCAAGCTTTCGGAGCTCTTATTTCATTTTATTTATGCACCAACTTTCCTTCAGATGCCCAGGATAGAGTACATAACATTCCTCTCTCTCATTTCCCCCTGCAACAATAACTCTGAGATTGATCGGGCTGAGAGACAACGACTGAACCAAAATCACTACTATTACACACAAAATATTCTGCAAATTCTCCCTTAGTTCAACATAGTCTGAAGATATATGAAGATGTATAAAGGTTCCACACCTGTAATATATATATATATTCGAAAGCCTGCTTATAAGACCAGCTGTTTTTGCGCTCTGCTCATGCAGTGCGTTACCGGTCTACCTGCCCCAGCTAATCGTATTGCTTCTAGTTGTCTCGCATCCGTCAGTATATTCGTAGGTTCGGGGATCGTAGCCAATTATTTTTCTCAACATGAATGTAATATATATGTTAATATATATTGCTAGTCCATGTATGATGTGCCATATGCAAAATAAATTATACTAAAGACCAGACAGTAAGCTGTCCACAGTTGTATGGATCCTTTGAATAGCTTTTTCTTTACACCCAAAATTGAAATCCGAAACCATACTTTTCAGAAACAAGAGAATTTTAGTCCCCTTCTAATCTATAGTAACTTGTAAACTGCTTTTCTTTGCCAGCAGAAAAATGCCAAAAATGTACAACTATTGTACCAAAATGAACAGTACTTTTTTTTTTGAAAGACAGGAAGAGGTTATGAAAAAAAAATCATGGATGAGAATGAGACAGTTATATAGTCCTTCCTTACATTATTTTGATTCTCTTTCTTCATTTTCCTTTGGCAATCAGAAAGTACTGATAGTCTGCTCATAGTTTTAGAATAGTTAACTCTCCCTTCACTATATCAATTCTGCTACTTTAGTATCAAAAGTTCTTTAACATAGTATCTAAAACAATGCATGATTATTAATCACTTTCCATTGCTGGCCTTGGAGCCAAATCCAGTATTTAAAAGCCCCCAATAAACATCCCTGTAGTTTCTCCTCTACACTCCGCAACTTCAGAAAATGTTTTTAGTTTAAAGAAAGCAAAAACAAAATGTTATTTGAATACCCCCAAGGCTATATGCATATCTGGTGCTGTAACACTGCAAATGTATAATCAATAAATAATTGATTATTTATTGTATCATGATACGCCATTTGTAGGCAAGGGCTCAATGAACTCTTAAGATGGTGGCCTTCTGCCTATAAAACTTCATATTAGAGTAAATGCACATCCTTAATACTGCAGCGTAGACTACATAGGGCTAAGTTTATGATGAGTGCTGTAGAAAACATCAGTTTATTGCAGATATAAGATAAAATTTAACCTTTATTGTCATTTTTTTACTGTGGACACAATAGCACACATCAAAAATGAAATTTAGTTGCCCACTCTCAAAGTGAAACACATACATGATGCACACCTAAACATACTATGAACAACATATGCGTAGACCCACATCCCTACATATATGTAGCAAATAAATATTAAATACTGTCCATCTTGAATATATAACGGAAGGAGGAAGCTTGAGAGTTCACAAGGTTAATGCTGTATGGAATGAAACTGTGGCTGAATCTGGATGTTCTGCTTTGGATACCACGAAGCCTCCTCCCAGAAGGTAACAAGGAAAACAGGTCATGAAGAAGATGGGTAGTGTCCCAGATATGTCCCCATATGGCAACTAGACTTCTACGTATAAGTGGTAAAATGTGGGTCTTTGTTGAAAGATCAATACTAATTGCCAGCTGTTTTCCAAACACATTAGAGCACTGATGTCAAAGTTGATCGTGTCATGTGACATATCGTGACGTATTGTGACTTTTTTTGCCTTTGTGGAGCTGGGGTGGGCGTGGCCTGTGCATGACGCATCCGGCCTGCGAGATG